AATAGCTTTTAATCCTTTTCAAGTTTAGGTTTTTGATTTTTTAAAATATCGTGGACAGTTGAATTCTGTTTTAAAGTTGATCTCGGACTGTGGTGGAGTCTCCTTCCTTGGAGGTCTTTAAGCAGAGGCTGGATTGCCATCTGTCAGGGATGCTTTGATTGGGAGTTCCTGCATGGCAGGGGGTTGGACTGGATGGCCCTTGTGGTCTCTTCCAACTCTATGATTCTATGATTTTTATGTTTTAGCTACAGTCAGCTCTCCATATCCACTGATTCCTTATCCACAAATAAAACCACCCATGGCTTGAAAATATTCAAAATATACATAATTCCCAAAAGCAAACCTTGATTTTGTCATTTTATATAAGGGACAAAATTTTACTATGCTATTCTACTGAATGGGACTTGAGCATCCATGGACTTTTGGTATCCACTGTATATTTTACTTGCTTTAAATTGTAAGCTGCCTTGAGTCCCCGTTTTGGGAGAAAGACAGGATATGGATGATGATGATGATGATGATGATATTACACCACCTTTCTGCTGAATATCAGCATTGTGAAACCAACTGCTTATCTGGGAATGCGCTTGCTGTTTCCACAATCCCACAAGTTTGGCAAGAAGTCCCTTGAAGGTGCTGATGAGTGTGTTATGCATCATCCCAGAAGACACAAGTGCCATGTGCAACAGTCACACTTGCAGAACATGCTTACACATCTGTGATCTGGACATGGACACTTTGCGATGGCCAAAAAAAAAAAGAAAAAAAAAAGCACACAACCACATATGTAAGAAAACTTGTATGTGTTATGTGTCTTGACGTCATCTGTCAATTTTTGGGTCTCCCCGCCCCCCCAAGTCATTTCTGGCTTATGGCAAACCTAACATGGGGTTTTCCCGATAAGATTTGTTCAGAGCAGCGTTACTTGTGCCATCCTCTGAGGCTGAGAGAGTGTGACCTGCCCAAGGTCACACAGTGAGTTATCATGTTTGAGCAGGGATTTACAAACCCTGGTCTCCCAGAACCCTAGTCCACCACTGCACCAAACTGGTTCCTTAGCTGCATTTACACTGTAGAATTAATGCAGTTTGACACTGCTTTAACTGCCATGGTTCCATGCTATGGAATTCTGGGGTTTGTAGTTTTATGACATATTTAGACTTCTCTGTCAGAGAGCTCTGGTGCCACAACAAACTACAAATCCCAGGATTTCGTAGCTTTGAGCCATGGAAGTTCAATGGTGTAAAACTGCATTAATTCTGCCGTGTGGCAGCATCCCATGACATGTGTGTAAAACACCGAAATGATGCCAACCAACATTTTAAAGGTTTGCATCACTCAGACAACTTTAAAATAATATCTCACAACTGAATAAAATAAATGGAGGGATAATGGGAACGAATGTTTCAATAACCTCACTGGGATTTTTACCCCTTACACTTGCATATGGGACTTGATCATGGTGGAGAGATTATGCCACCTTACTTTCATCATAGCAGCACTATATCTTTTTTTGCTGTTGTCAAGGTTTATGGTGAAGAGATTTCAGAGATTTCAGTAAGGCAGCAAACTTCTGCACAATAAAATACAAAGCCAACCTATGCCTACCGACATATTTATATTGTACAAATTTTAATTGTTGTTAGCCGCCTCGATTGTGCTCAGAGGGGTGGGGTATAAATAAATTATTATTATTATTATTATTATTATTATTATTATTATTATTATTATTATCATCATCATCATATTTCTGCCTCCCCTCCCAGCTTCTTTCATCCCATCCTGAGCCAAAGTGGAGGGAAGAAAATTATTCTTAGTTGGCAGATGCTCTTTTGGATTTCTGGAAGGGGCACCTGCAAGGTAAGAAGCAGCCAAGGAATGTGGTTCAGAGGAGGGCATCTGAGAAGAGAGTTGGGGACATGATGGGAAGTGATGTCACATCACTTTTGTTTTTGGGATCTGGCCAGAATATACTGAATTCTTGCGCTTCTTCTCAGGGGTTGTGGTGATGATGGGGGACAAAGGGAGCCAAACTGCCACAGAATCATAGGCTCATAGAGTTGCAGGAAACACCAAAGGCCATCCAGTCCAACCCCATTTTGCCACGCAGGGATATCCAGTCCTCCCTCCGTATTGGCAGACTTGCGATCTGCAGATTTAACCATCCATGGACGGCAAGACCCCGTTTTTCTTAATGGTGGTGTGTGCATGTGGTTGCATTAGCGGGCGCATGCCGCACTGCCATTCACTAAAATGGGACTTGAGCATATGCAGATTTAGTTATCTGTGGGGTGGTGGTGTCCCGTGGATACAGAAGTCCAACTGTACAATCAAAGCACCCTCAAGAGATGGCCATCCAGCCTCTGTTTAAAGACCTCCAAAGAAAGACTCCACCACCCTTCAAGGGAGTGTGTTCCACTGTTTCAAAATCTAGTCTCCTAGTGTCCTAATGCAACACTCAACCACTATACCATGCTGCCTCTCAACCTGACTATATGCCTAAACGGATATGCCTCCTCTTTGCTGTTGCTACGAGCCTTCAAGTTGCTTCTGACTTATGGTGCCTCTAAGGCAAACCTATCATAGGGTTGCCTTGGCAAGATTTGTTCAGAGGGCGGGGTTGCTTTTGCCTTCATCTGAGGCTGAGAGCATGTGACTTGCCCAAGGTCACCCAGTGGGTTTCATGGCTGAGTGGGGAATTGAACCCTGATCTCCAGAGTCATAGTCCAACGGTCAAATGTCCTCTGTCTCCCTGGAATCACCTTCAGTTTACAGCCCCAAAGGACACATAATATGAGTAAAACAAACCATAGGTGTGATAAAATAACAGGCATGAGCCAGCATGGCATAGTGGTTTGAGAGTTGGGCTCTGGCTCTGGAGATCAAGGTTCGATTTGCTGCTTGGTCATGGAAACCCATTGGGTGACCTTGAGTAAGTCACAAACTCTCCACCCCAGAAAGCCCCATGATGGATAGGTTCGCCTTGTATATGTGTTATATGCCTTTAAGTCATTTCCAACTTATGGCAATGCTAAGGTGACCCTATCATGGGGTTTTCTCGGCAAGATTTGTTCAGAGGTTTGCTTTGCCTTCCCTTGAGGCTGAGAAGATGTGACTTGCCCAAGATCACCCAGTGGGTTTCATGGCCAAGCGGGGAATCAAAGCCTGATCTCTAGAGTTATAGTCCAACCATCAAACCACTATGCCACACTGGCTCTCAAGGTTGCTAGTAGTCAGAAATGGTAAGGCGGCACAACAACAACAACAGCAACAGCAACATGTCCCATATGACCTTGCCTGTTTCTCAATGAACTTGGTCTCACTTCACCCATGGAGCTGCTATACAACCCTTTGGCTGCCTCTGAATGCCAACCGAGGCTGGATCCACACTGCAGAATATAATCCAGTTTGACACCACTTTAACTGCCTTGGCTCAGTGCTCTGGGATTCTGGGAAGCATATTTTGTCGTGGCACTAGAGCAAAGCCATCAAACCCACTGGTGATGTGAGGTTCTCTTGGCACGTTTCATCAGAGGAGGGATTTTTCTTTGTATTGTATTGTAGTGTATGTTATTTTTATTGTTTTTATCTTGTATTTTAATTTAGTAATAGTTTAATATATTTTTAAGGGGCGGGTGGGTTAGGGAAGGAATTCTTGGATTTGTTTTAACTTGTGATGTTGTTTTAATTGGTTGTACACTGCCCTGATTGCGCTGCAGAGGAGCGGGATAAAAATAAAATTTATTATTATTATTATTATTATTATTATTGTATGCCATTTTAATCTATATGTTTTAACTGACGTTTGGTTTAATACTTTTTTAAGGGGGGGGTGGTATTTGGTCTTTCTGGTTGTATATTGTAAGTAATTTTAATTGTTGTTAGTCACCCTGATTGTTCACAGAGGGGCAGGGTATAAATAAATTTATTATTATTATTATTATTATTATTATTATTATTATTATTATTATTATGTTTTTGCCATTCCCATCCCCTGAGGCTGAGAGAGTGTGACTGGCCCAAGGTCACTCAGTGGCTTTCCCCTTTGGTGCCAAGCTCTGGTGCCGCAACAAACGACACTTCCCAGAACTCCATAGCATTGAGCCAAGGCAGTTAAAGTGGTGCCAAACTGGATTATTTCTGCAGTGTGGAGGCAGTCCAAGTCTCTCCTGTCTTTTTCCAGCCATGGATCCTTTGGGCATGTGGGGGGGGGGAGCATGATCTGTCCCAGAGAGATGATATCTGGGGTGCTCTTAAAATCAAAATACCACCTTGGGGTGCCACTGATAGCACCTTGGGGTGTTATAGGGGTGCAATGACAATCCAGATCTCCAGACCTGCCTTCCTTTCCTCCCCACAAGCATTTGCATGGCTGGCATTGGCTTACCCTTGGATGGTTTCTCTGCTTCTGGTGGGTTTCTCTCCTCCCCAGCAGTGCATGCTGTCATCTCTTCATAGCCATTTATCTGCTGGATGAGGAAAGGGGGAGCCCCTCTTTGCCCCCCAATCTTCTTCTCCTGCAATGCCTTCCTTCCTTCTCTCAGCATCCTTTTGCAAATGATGAGGCTGGTGCATCCATGCTTGCGCTCTCTTTCTGCTGCTCCTGGATGGATGAGATCAGAGCACATTAGGCTCTCTCTCTCTCTCTGTGTGTACAGTGTGTGTGTATATAGTGTGTGTGTGTATAGTGTGTGTGTGTTCAAAATGGGCTGCTTCATCCCCATGCCAAGCTTGGCAGCCCCCTCCTTCCAAGCCCACTGGGCATCTTCCAGCTTCTCTGCTATTGATCTGGGTCATTCATTTTATGGTGGTGCTGGCTATTCTTATGTGCTTCCAAGTCATTTTGGACTTTCTTGCGCTCTCTTTCAAGTCATTTCCGATTTCTGGCGACCCTAAGGCCATGGGGTTTTCTGGGCAGGCTTCATCAGAGGGGGTTGGCCATTGCTGTCCTCTGAGGCTGAGAGTGTGTGACTGGTCCAAGGTCACTCCATAGGTTTTGATGCTTGAGCAGGGAATTGAACCCTGATCTCCAGAGTCAGAGTCCAATGCTCAAACCGCTACATCACTCTGGCTGTTTTAGAGTAGATTAAAAGGGAAAAAGAAGAGCTTGAGAAAGGGACTGGCATAACCATAACAACAACAACAACATTTGGATGGCTTCCACAATCCACTGGGCAATACAGCCAACGCAGCTGCCTTGGACCCCATTTTGGGAGAAAGGTGGGACGTAAGGGCAATAAATAAATGAATATATAAATAAATGCAACCCACACAATGCTCCAGCTGGCTTGGCAAAGGTGGCTCCCAGAATCCCCCAGGTATCATGGCCAGCACAACTCCCAGGATCCTCAGGCAGTATTAACACACTTTCCAAGATCCTTCACCCTGCTTGGCTAATGTAATTCCCAGAATCCCCCACTCATCTTGGTCAAGGCACCCCCTGCACCCAGAATCCCCTAGCCCAGCAGGGTTTCTAAAAGCTGCCTTGGCCCTGAGGACCAGAATTGCCATCCAAAAATAACGGTCTCTTTTCCAAATCCAGGCTACACTACAGAATTAATGCAGTTTGACACTGTTTTTAACAGCCATGGCTCCATGCTGTGGAATTCTGGGATTTATAGTTTGCTAAGATATCTAGCCTTTCTCTGTTAGAGAGCTCCGGTGCCACAACAAACTACTAATCCCAGGATTCCATAGAACCCTAAGGCGAAACTATTATGAGGTTTTCTTGGCAAGGTTTGTTCAGAGATACAGGAGGCTGGGAATCCCACAAAGAGCCCTTCCAAGGCTAGAAACATTCAGTGGCTGAATTCTGATTTTCCATAGGAAGGAGACCCTTTGAATGAATAGTTGGTGAGTCAATATAGAGGGAAATCCAATTGATTCAATGGCTCTCCTCTTCATAAAATGTGGAGCCCAGAACTGAATGCAGTTCTCCAGATAAAGTCTGGCCAATGCAGAATGTAGTGGGACTATTAGTTCCCTCGACTTGGAAATTACGCTTCTATTAGTGCAAGCTAAAATAGCATTTGGCTTCTTTGCTGCAGCATCACACTTCTGGCTCATGTTCAGTTTATGAACAATAATAATCCTAAATATGCAGTGGGCTTTTGTAGCACCTTTGAGACTAAATGTGGAAAAGAAGTTGCAGCATAAGCTTTCGTAGACTTCTAGTTCCTCGGATGCTGCAACTTCTATATAGTTAGTCTCAAAGGTGCTCTCAAACAGATCCCTTTGCATACTGTTTTTGCAGACTAGCATGGCTATGTCTGAATAATCCTAAAGTCGTTTTTGCATGCATTACTGCTGAGTCACACATCCCCATATACGCATCCTATGCCTGAGCATTTGATTTTTGTTACCTAAAAGTAGAATTTTGCATTTATCAAATTTCACTTTATTAATTTCTGACCGATTTTCTAGTTTATCAAGGCCCTTTTGGATTCTGTTCCTGTCTCCCAATGTAGCCACCTCTCCCAGTTTTGTGTCATCATCTTGACTTGATAAGGATTTCCTCCACATAAAAATGTTGAAGAATAATGGCCCTAAGACCTCTTTCCAGACTGAAGTAGAGCTATTGATGACAATGGGATGGCGGAGACTTATTGGATTGCAAAGGAAGTATCTTTTTTGTTTTGCAAATGGATGTTAAATTTCCTGGACTTTGAGAATCTCCCAGTAGCCACATGGCCTGCAAGCAATACTCCTCCCTACCATCTGAAATGAGAACAAAAACACCAAAATGCAGGCCTATGACTAACATCTTCAACTTTTTTCTCCTGTATGGTTTGTAACATCTTGCCTGATGAAGAAGACAGTGGAGCTTCGAAAGCTTGCAACAAGTACATTGTGCATTTTGGTTGGCCAATGAAGGTATCCCTGTATGGTGGATTTTTGATGTCATTGGATTTACTACAAATCCCAGTATTTTCTGAAAGAAACCATGACAATTAAACCACAACTTGGAAATTCTGTTTTTGAACTATAGCTCTCAGAAACACCACCAACTATAGAATCATAGAATCATAGAGTTGGAAGAAACCACTAGGGCCATCCAGTCCAACCCCATTCTGCCATGCAGGAACTCAAAATCAAAGCATCCCCGACAGATGGCCATCCAGCCTCTGCTTAAAGACCTCCAAAGAAGGAGACTCCACCATAATCTCTGAGGGAGTGTGTTCCACTGTCGAACAGCTCTCACTCTCAGGAAGTTCCTCCTAATGTTGAGGTGGAATTTCTTTTCCTGAAGCTTGCATCTATTGTTCCGAGTCCTATTCTCTGGAGCAGCAGAAAACCAGCTTGTTCCCTCCTCAATATGACATC